AGGGAACAGCGAGAGAGGTGTTGAAAGGTGGAGGTGATGGGGGATAGTTGAACGATGGATCGAGGGCACTAGAAGGGATTGCGAGGGATTCTAAAAGGAGGGAGGTGGAGGGGCGAGGGAGAGTGGATGATGTGAAGAGAAGGAGTGTGGATGGAGAGGTGGAATGTGTGTTTGGCGGGGTGAGAGAGAAGGGGCCGGGGAGGGAGGAAACAGGGAGGTCATTTAAATCATTTAAATGAGAGGAGGAAATGTGCATAGAGGGAGGCGGAGAGGGGATGGATGCATTTTTAAATGAAGGCGAGGGGAGGGGGTTGGAGGAGGGTGAAGGGACGCAGCGAGTTTGTGGGGAGCGTGAGGGGGGTGGGGGAGCTGGAGAGAGGAAAGGGGGGGGTAGCTGGAGAGAGGGGGGAAGTGAGGGGGGGAGAGGGGGAGGGAGAGGGGGGGTAGCTGGAGGGAGAGGGAGCTGGGGAGAGGGGGGGGTGAGGGGGGAGATAGAGGGGGGTAGCTGGAGAAAGGGGGGGGGGGAGAGAGAGGGGGGGAGAGATAGGGGGGGGGTAGCTGAAGAGAGGGGGGGAGTGAGGGGGAGGGAGGGGGGGAGAGGGGGAGGGGGTAGCTGGAGGGAGATGGGGGGGAGAGGGGGGGAGGGAGCTGGGGAGAGAGAGAGGGGGGGGAGCTGGAGAGAGGGGGGGGAGAGATAGGGGGGTAGTTGGAGAGAGGGGGGGAGTGAGGGGGGAGATGGGGGGGGTAGCTGGAGAAAGGGGGAGGGAGAGAGAGGGGGGGGAGAGATAGGGGGGGGGGTAGCTGGAGAGAGGGGGGGAGGAGTGAGGGGGGGAGAGGGGAGGGGGGTAGCTGGAGGGAGATGGAGCTGGGGAGAGGGGGGGAGGGAGCTGGGGGAGAGAGAGAGGGGGGGGGGAGCTGGAGAGAGGGGGGGAGAGATAGGGGGGTAGCTGGAGAGAGGGGGGGAGTGAGGGGGGAGAGGGGGAGGGAGAGGGGGGGTAGCTGAAGGGAGAGGTAGCTGGGGTGAGAGAGAGTGGGGGGGGGTAGCTGGAGGGAGAGGGAGCTGGGGTGAGAGAGAGGGGGGGAGGGGGAGAGAGAGGGGGGGAGGGAGGGGGGAGAGAGAGGGGGGAGTTGGAGGGAGGGGGGGGGAGAGATAGGGGGGGAGAGGGGGGAGAGGGGGGGGGGGAGAGGGGGGAGAGGGGGGGGGGGCGGTAGCTGGAGGGAGCTGGGTGAGAGAGATGGAGTGGAGAGAGAGAGGGGGAGGGGGGAGTTGGAGAGAGAGAGGAGAAGGAGGAGGTTTTGTCGACTCGCTCCCCCCACTCGCTCACGCCGAGCTCGGAGCTCGAAGGAGCCGCAGCCACCGCCACTTCCTCGCGCGAGCCCGCGGGTTTGAGTTGCGCGGCCTCCACTCGTTGCCCCCGTTGCGCCTGCCGGGACCCGCGGAGCGAGGCGGACCCCGAATCGAAGGGGACTTTTACCCCCCCACCCACCCCCCGGGGGATCCAAGGGCACCGCGGAGACCGCGGAGACCATGGCGAGAGTGGCGAGAGCGAGGCGGCGTGGGGAGGGAGACGCGAGAGCGGAGCCTCAGCGTCGTGGCGGGCGAGGCGAGGAGGTGGATTCAGGTGAGGGGGTGACGACGAGGTGAGGGAGGGCGGAGGTGAGATGCGGAGGTGGGATGTGGATGGGAATAAGAAGGTGGATGCAGAGGAGATGAGGTGATGGGAGGGGTGGATACAGGTGAGGTGATGTGAAGGAGGTGGATACAGGGAGGTGATGTGGAGGGGGGGGATACAGGTGAGGTGATGTGGAGGTGGATGATGATGAGATGAGGTGATGTGGAGGAGGTGGATACTGATGAGGTGATGTGAAAGGGTGGATACTGATGAGGTGATGTGGAGGGGTGGATACTGATGAGGTGATGTGAAAGGGTGGATACAGGTGAGGTGATGTGATGGAGGTGGATGCTGATGAGGTGACGTGGAGGAGGTGGATACCGGGGTGAAGGTGGATACACGAGAGGCGATACGGAGGTGAAGGGGTGAGGTCGTGAATGTGTGGACGTCGTAGCGAGGGGGCGAGTGGACGAGGTTCAGGATTTACATTCATGTGGGTGAGGCGGTGGATAGGGGTGGATACAGGTGAGGCGATACGGAGGTGGGTGAGCGAGGATACAGGTGAGGGAGTGCGGGCGAAAAGGTGGATGATGCAGGGTCAGGGGATGAGGCGGGGAATGCAGTCGAGGGGAAGATGCATGAGGTGAGGTGAGCGACTAAAAGGCGAGGGGATGATAAGGTGGGTTGAGGTGAGGAGCGAGGAGGTGAGGAGCGAGGAGGTGGATGCAAGGTAAAGATCGTGAGAGGAGCTAAACACGACTCCTCGGAGCTGACATGGAAGCGAGCCGGACAGGGGGGGGGGGGGGAGGTGAGCGAGAGGAAGGAGAGGGAGGAGGGAGAGATGGAGTAGGGAGAGAGGGGGGCAGAGAGAGGGGGGGCGAGAGAGGGGGGGCAGAGAGAGGGGGGGCAGAGAGAGAGGGGGGCAGAGAGGGGGGGGGGCCAGAGAGGGGGGGGGGCAGAGAGGGGGGGCAGAGAGTGGGCAGAGAGAGGGGCAGAGAGGGGGGGGGCAGAGAGGGGGGGGGCAAGAGGGGGACAGAGAGGGTGGGACAGAGAGGGGGGGGGCAGCAGCAGAGAGGGGGGGTAGAGAGAGAGGGAATGGGTAAGGAGAGCAGAACGAGAAATCTTTTGTGACATCTTTCATTTAAAAGGGGGGGGGGGGTTACATAAAGCAAGCATTAAAAAACCGAAATGATGAACGAAAGCAAAGTGCCGACTACACCGAGCATCGTCTTGTTAATCCTCTGTATTGAAGTGCAGACCCCCGCGCGTCTCGGGCATGCGGAGCGAGAGAGGAGAGGCAGGGGAGGCGTGGGGGGGGTGAAAGATGAACGAGTGACGAGATGGAAAGAGAGAGAGATACAGAAGAGGTGAGAAGGAGTGAGGAGAGCGAGGGTGGGGGGGATGTGCGAGAGAGAGACTCGAACCGTCTGGTCCGACATGAGCTTTAGGGGACGACATTGCTCAGGTTGAGTTGGAGACGTGGAGGGGGGGGGGGGGTCTCGGGGGTCCGGGTTAGGTCCCCCTTTGCCCCCCACCCCCCACCCTCTTCCACCACAGACCTCGATGTGAGAGAGGGGAAGGGAGAGTTTTGGGGGTGTCCATGAGACGCGGGTAAACCCGGGGGTTCAGGGCGCAACAGATAAAGCGAGAACAGCGAGGAAAATCCGGTCCGGGCTTCACCACCACCGCTACCACCAACATCATCATCGTATAAGCCGGTTTCACCACCACTACTACCACCACCATCGTTACAAGCCGGCTTCATCACTACTACCATCATCATCGTGAAATCCGGCTTCACCACCACCACTACCACCATCATCATCATCGTGCAAGCCGGTTTCACCACTACTACCACTACCATCATCATCGTGAAATCCGGCTTCACCCACCATCATCATGGGCGCAGCTGGGCTCATTAATGAAAGTGCGGTGGAGAGAGTCACGGGGGCTTTTGTGTTGTGGTGGGGGGGGGGGCTCCCGCCGCACCCACTCCGCGGGGGATCTCCACCCCTTGCCCCGGTGCTGTGTGGTGGTGGTAGGGGGTGGGTGGTGCTGTGTGGTGGTGCTTGTGGTGGTGGTTGGTGGGGGTGGTGCTGTGTGTGGTGGTGGTGTGTGCTGTGTGGTGGTGGTGGTGCTGTGTGGTGGTGGTGGTGCTTGTGTGGTGGTGGGTGGTGTGTAGTGGTGGTGGTGCTGTGTGGTGGTGGGGTGCTGTGTGGTGGTGGTGGTGCTGTGTGGTGGTGGTGGTGCGTGTGGTGGTGATTGGTGGTGGCTGGTGGTGCTGTGTGGTGGGTGGTGCTGTGTGGGGTGTTGGTGCTGTGTGGGTTGGTGTGTGGTGGTGTGGCGGTGGTGCTGTGTGGTGGTGGTGGTGCTGTGTGGTGATGGTGGTGGTGGTGCTGTGTGGTGATGGTGGTGCTGTGTGGTGGTGGTGGTTGCTGTGTGGTGGTGGTGGTGCTGTGTGGTGGTAGTGGTGGTGCTGTGTGGTGGTAGTGCTGTGTGGTGGTGCTGGTGGGTGGTGGTGGTGCTGTGTGGTGGTAGTGGTGTTGTGTAGTGGTGGTGGTGTTTGTGTGGTGGTGGTGCTGGTGGGGTGGTGGTGCTGGGTGGTTGTGCTGCGTGGTGTGGTGGGTGCTGTGTGGTGGTGGTGGGTGCTGTGTGGTGTGGTGCTGGTGGTCTGTGGTGGTGCTGTGTGTTGTGGTGTGCTGTGTGGTGGTGGTGGTGGTGCTGTTGGTGGTGGTGCTGTGTGGTGGTGGTGGTGATGTGTGGTGGTGGTGGTGGTGCTGTGTGGTGGTGGTGCTGTGTGGTGGTGGTGGTGTGGTGGTGCTGTGTGGTTGGTGGTGGTGCTGTGTGGTGGTGGGGTGGGTGCTGTGTGGTGGGTGCTGTGTGGTGGTGGTGTGCGTGTGTTGGTGGTGGTGTGCTGGTGGTGGTGGTGCTGGTGGTGGTGGTGCTGTGTGGTGGTGGTGGTGCTGTGTGGTGGTGGTGCTGTGTGGTGGTGGTGGTGCTGTGTGGTGATGGTGCTGTGTGGTGGTGGTGCTGGTGTGGTGTGGTGGTGGTGGTGCTGTGTGGTGATGGTGTGCTATGTGGTGGTGGTGGTGCTGTGTGGTGGTGGTGGTGGTGCTGTGTGGTCGGTAGTGGTGGTGCTGTGTGGTGGTAGTGCTGTGTGGTAGTGGTGCTGTGTGCTGGTGCTGGTGATGATGATGTAGAGGAGGTGGAAGGGCGCGCAGCGTGATATCGACGTGCACAAAACCTGAACTCGGGATCGAAGTCCCCGACCACTCTCCGCTCCCAGCCCCCCGAGTTGCCACTCCACACGGCCCATTACGTGCAGCAATAACAACAACAAAACAAGTCGCCACACGCTGCACGTACCTGATGGGGGATACACAATAACCCGCCTCCACTGAGTGACGTACAGAGAAAGAGCGCGCCGGATTTAAATGCGTGGGGGGGGGGGGGCGCAGTGGCGCAGCGGTGAGCGCGACGCGCCCTGGACCCGTCCACCTCGGTTTGGGGGGCATCCATGTAGTAGGTAGGCAAACATCTGTCAAAACTTGACCCCTCCCTGTACGCACGCGTACTTTTAACACCCCCCTCTCCCACCTGCGTACGTACACCTGACGCACCCCCCCCCCCTCCCCGAATCCTATAGAACGGCCGAAATTTGAGCCATGCAAAAACAATCAAGGATTAATAAACAGATAGTCCACCGCCGGACTATCTAACTCATTTGAAGGCCAATGTAGACAAATTATTATCGAGGCATCACACCCCCCCCCCACACGTTTCCTATGCGTATGTCCATTGTCAGTAGACCCCCCCCCCCCATACGCAAGCTACACATTTGGGTTAACCCCCCCCCCTCCATGCGTACGTACTGAATGGATGGCCCCTTGATTCCCGGCTGCGACCACCTCCCACCCCCACGCCCCCCACCTCCACGCCCCCCCCCCCCCCGCTCCCACCCCCGCTCCCACCCCCGCCCCCACCTCTACGCCCCCACCCCCCCAAAACCCCCCCGCCCCCCTCAAACCGCCCCCGCCAACCCCCCCCCCGCCCCCCCAGCAACCCCCACGACTGACATGTCGTGGTTAGGTTGTCATCCAGCAGTGGACTAACAACGTGAACACAAACACATGGTACTGGTCCATTAGACCGACAGGCGAAGATGTGTGTGTATGTGTGTGTATATGTGTGTATGTATGTGGGTGTGTTTTAATGCGTTAATAACGCAGCGCTGAGCGCATTGCGATTACTCTTGCTTTCGGTCCGAATCGTCAGCGTCATCTGCACGTCACGTGGGACGTGTTGAGCAATCATCAGGCGCGTGCAGCGTGTGAATACCTGATTGCCATTTGAACGACCGATAACGATAAACGCGGAATAAGCGCTGCACAGCACCCCCCCTAATTATTGATCGCATTTCCGCTCGGCACGTGCTGATATCAAGGCGCGAGCACTGATTACGGTCACTAGGGCAACACCCGCAGGGAATGAGGGGCGGGGGGGGGGGTCACCTGTGGTGAGTGGGGGTTGGGGTGAGGGGTGAGCGAACCTCGTCACGAACGCTGCTTCGTCTTGGATGAGGGCGCCCTCACCTGGACGCGTCGCGCGCTCCCAGCTGCAGCCACGTGGTGGCGATCGTCCCTCTACCGTGCCCCTTCCTCCCTCCATCGTGCCCCTGACTCCCTCCACCGTGCCCCTCCCTCCATCCCATCGTGCCCCTGCAATCGATGTACGTCCATGGATCACATTCGTGTTTTTGGAGCCTATGTAAGTCTATGGTTCATGTAAGTTCATGTATGTCTATGGGCCTGTATTGAAGTACATTGTTCTCTACCTGTAGAGATTATACTGGTAGGAACCGCCAGGTTACACCAGCCCACAGGGGATTATTGTGCCCGTCGTGCAGGGAGGGGAGGGTGGGTCTGGGTGGGGAGGGTGGGGCTGGGTGGGGAGGGTGGGGCTGGGTGGGGGGCGGGAGGGGTGGGGCTGGGTGGGGGGTGGGAGGGGTG